AGAATTAACAGAGAAAACTCTTCTCAGAAGAAAATTAAGGTTCTATGAGACATAACAGAGAAAACACTCAAACAATCAATGGAGGAAATCAATAACTCTAATGGGTGTGGACTTGTATCACATAAGACGACCATCAATTAGGGAAAGATTTCTGAAAAGACTCCCTAGGGAGAAAATTTACTAGGGAAAGCTCTGTAGGGAAAAAGCTTTAAAGTAGACTTTTCGGAGAGACCTCTGTTGTAGAGATAATTTTAGCAGACTCAATGGGATAACCAATGAGAAGACATGTGGGGTAGAGACTTATTCAGAGAAAATACCATTGGCTTAGATGGGGGTTAATTTGGGTTTTCGTGAACGGTCTCGAATCCTGACTTATGCTATGTATGCAAGTTTTGATTGTTTGGCATTGTTAAATATAATTCATTATGATTTGATATGATTAGATTTGATATCATATGATTAGATTTGATATCATATGATTAATTTGATATGATATGATTAGATATCATATGATTAGATTTAACATCATATGATTAGATTTGATATCATATGATTAGATTTGATTTAGAATATTTTGGGTCTTTTATGTTTTGGGATAGTGTAAACCTAAAACTATAAATATGGTGCCTTGCTTTGTATTCTACATCACAACAGAACAGATTTCACAGTTGCAGTTAGCAAGTGAAAGTTCAATAAGAAATCCCACAGTTGTGGGTAACACATTCTCTCCAAATACTTCTTCTCTCATTCTTCTCTTTCTTGTTTGTTATTCTTCTTCTCTTTTGTTGTTCTTGATAATTACTTGTTATTACCATCATTATCATATTGTGGGTTTGTTCATAAATCTTGAGATCAAGATTAAAGGGAATTCTTCATAGGGTGTGAGGTGAATTTCCAACATCTGGTATCTAGAGCTCCGGTTGAGAGATTCAAGGAAGGAAAATAGTAATGACGATGAACTATCCGAACGACAACTTTCCGGCGACACTGCCAATTATCAAGAAAGACAATTATGAGAATTGGTGTAAGCAGATTAAGGTGATTTTCTGTTATCAAGATCTTTGGGATCTTGTGAAGGACGGAGCAACATCGCTTGGGGAGAATGCAACGGAGGCGGAAAAGGCTACGCACAAAGAATTGAAGAAGAAGGATTATAAAGCACTCTTTATAATTCATCAGTGTGTTGATCCTGATAACTTTGAAAAGGTTAGTGATGTTGATTCAGTAAAAGAAGCATGAGAGATTCTTGAAAAGTCGTTTGGAAGCGCAGAGAAGGTGAAAGAGGTGAGGTTACAAACTCACAAGAGAACCTATGAGTTGCTTCAGATGGAAGACAACGAAAGCATTACAGATTTCTTCACCAGAGTTACAAGGTTGGTGAATCAAATCAAAGTATGTGGAGAAACGCTGACGATGAAAGCAGTTGTCTCAAAGATTTTGAGATCGTTGGCTCCAAAATTCGACCACGTGGTAGTTGCCATAGAAGAGTCGAAAGATCTGTCAGTGTTGAAGAAGGAAGAGCTTCAAGGGACTCTTGAGTCTCATGAACAGAGGATGGCTGAGAGAGCTGCAGGAAAGTCGAAAGATATGGCTTTGCAGGCACAAACGGAAAAGGAGAGAAAAGGCAAAGGTAGCTGGAATGGAAACAAAGGAGGAAACCAGTCGAATCAAAAGAAACCTTGGAACCAAGGCAACCAAAGAGGTGGTGTTGCAGGTAAAGGAAGAGGTGGTGATCAAAAGACAGACAAAAGCCATCTTCAATGTTTCAATTGCCAGAAGTATGGTCATTATGCTAGTGATTGTCCAGAAAGGAAGAAAAATCAAGAGACTGATGCAAAGCTGGAGAAACATGAAGAAGAAGAAACTTTGCTAATGGTCACAACAAAAGATGAAGAAAGATTCCAAGATCAGTGGTACTTGGACTCAGGATGCTCATCACACATGACTGGAAGGAAAGATTGGTTTGTGAACATGAAGCCCTCGTCGAAGAACACAGTGAAGTTTGCAAATGACAACACTCTAGCAGCTGAAGGTGTTGGTGATGTTCTGATCATGAGGAAAGATGGCAAAAGGTCAACAATTTCCAATGTGTTGTACATACCAGGCATGAAGAGTAATTTGCTCAGTATAGGGCAGCTTGTCGAAAAGAACTACAAGGTAGTTGTCGAAGACAAGATGATGAGAGTTCTCGACGCAAGTGGTAGATTAATCTTGATGGATCCAATGTCTCAGAATATGACCTTCAAGATTGGACTCAATGTGATGGAGCACAAGTGTCTGGCAACTGTAGCCAGCAGAGATGAGTGGTTATGGCATTTTCGACTAGGTCATCTCAACTTTAATGACATCAGAGAACTGAAGAGAAGAAATATGGTTTCAGGATTACCAGAAATCGACATTCCAAGTGAAGTCTGTGAGGAGTGTGTTCAGTCGAAACAACACAAGAATAGCTTCAGCAAGGATGCAGGAAGGAAGTCGAAGGTAATACTTGAAGTCATATACTCTGATGTATGTGGTCCAATCCAGGTGGATTCGATTGGTGGCAATAGATACTTTGTCACGTTTATAGATGATTACAGTCGAAAGCTGTGGACTTACCTCATCAAGAAGAAAAGTGATGTGATTGAGGTATTTTCCAGATTCAAGTCCTTGGTCGAAAGACAAAGTGGTCGAAAGCTGAAAATTCTGAGGACTGATGGTGGTGGAGAGTATGTGTCGAAAGAGTTCGATACACTATGTGTAAAAGAAGGGATTGTGCATGAGGTGGTGCCACCTTACACTCCACAGTAAAATGGGATTGCAGAACGCAAGAACAGAACCATCATGAATATGGTGAGAAGTATGTTGAATGGAAAGCATCTACCTAAAGAATTATGGGGAGAAGCAGTTTCGACAGCAACATATATATTGAACAGATGTCCGACGAAGAAGCTTGAAGGAGTCACACCAGAAGAATGTTGGTCTGGTGTCAAGCCTAATATCAGTCACTTGAAGGTGTTTGGATCTATAGCACATAGACATGTGCCAGATCAGTTGAGAAGGAAACTTGATGATAAGTCAAATCAGATGATCTTGATAGGATATCATTCGACAGGAGGGTACAAGCTGTTCGACCCGGTGAATAAGCAGGTAGTGATCAGCAGGGACGTGATCATAGATGAGCTTAAAGAATGAGATTGAACTGAGAATGCCAAGAAGGATTCAGTGAGAATCTCTTGTGAAGAACCAGCCACTGAAGTCGAAATAGAAGTTCGACAGGAACCAGTTGCAGATGAAACAGGTTCAAGCAGACCTCGACGAATAGGACACATGCTTGCAAGGTTGCAAGAATGTGTAATTACATCAGATGATGTAGTCGATGAAGAGGGTGAGTTGGTACATTATGCTTTCTACGCAGATGTCGAACCAGTCAATGCAACTGAGGCATTGAAAGATTCGAAGTGAATGAAAGCAATGATTGAAGAGTTGGAGTCCATCGAACCAGTCAATGCAGCTGAGCCCAGATTGCAACTGTCGAAGGATTCAGATGAAGATGATGTCGACCCAACCCAATACAGAAGACTTATTGGGTCACTTAGATACCTTTGTCACACAAGGCCTGACTTAGCATACAATGTTGGTATGGTAAGTAGATTCATGCAGAAGCCAAAGGTATCACACCTAGCAACGGCGAAGAGGATACTGAGGTATCTGAAAGGAACTCTCGACTATGGTATTTTATTTCCAGCAGCTGATGAAGGAAAAGAATGCAAGTTAGTGGGATACACAGACTCCAGTTGGTGTAGTGATGCTGAGGATCGAAAATCCACAGCTGGTTATGTGTTTATGTTAGGTGGTGCACCAGTTGCTTGGAATTCGAGAAAGGAACCAGTGGTGGCATTGTCATCATGCCAAGCAGAATATATAGCTGCTTCTCTTTGTGCATGTCAAGCAACTTGGATGGTGAACTTGGTCGAAGAAATCACAGGGAAGAATCATGGAGCAATTACCATGAAGATAGACAGCATGTTAGCTATCAACTTGGCGAAGAATCCAATAGCTCATGGTCGAAGCAAGCACATCGAAATGAGGTTCTATTATCTCTGAGAGCGGGTAGCAGAAGGGAAGATGAAGTTGGAACACTGCAGAACTGAGAATCAAATTGCAGATATCATGACGAAGGGAGTGCAGGTCGAAGCCTTCAGAAGACTAAGGGCCATGATGAATGTAGACAGTTTAGACACAATGAATTAGGTGGTGTGTTAAATATAATTCATTGTGATTTGATATGATTAGATTTGATATCATATGATTAGATTTGATATCATATGATTAATTTGATATGATATGATTAGATATCATATGATTAGATTTAATATCATATGATTAGATTTGATATCATATGATTAGATTTGATTTAAAATATTTTGGGCCTTTTATGTTTTGGGCTAGTGTAAACCTAAAACTATAAATAGGGTGTCTTGCTTTGTATTCTACATCACAACAGAACATATTTCACAGTTGCAGTTAGCAAGTGAAAGTTCAATAAGAAATCCCACAGTTGTGGATAACACATTCTCTCCAAATACTTCTTCTCTCATTCTTCTCTTTCTTGTTTGTTATTCTTCTTCTCTTTTGTTGTTCTTGATAATTACTTGTTATTACCATCATTATCATATTGTGGGTTTGTTCATCAATCTTGAGATCAAGATTGAAGGGAATTCTTCATAGGGTGTGAGGTGAATTTCCAACAGGCATAATGTTCCACATTGGTGGATATGCTACGCATGAGATGAATTATGAAATGTTATGATCAATGCATGTAGGTGTTCCAATGAACGTTTTAGACTTTTGCATGGCTTAGTTTCTTTTATTGAAAAGGTCAAGCAAAATTATGTTTCAGAATACCGATGTCAATTCGTGTTTGGCGTTAGTGGAATGTAAATGAGTTTGGTTGGATTGATTTGAAGATCGAAGATGAGGTCGACACCATTAATGAAGTGGAATTAGGATGGGCAAACATGGGTGGACAAACGTCTGTTGAGGAAATTGAGAGGGGGAGAAAAGCTCAAGAAGAATTGTGGAGGAATTTGCGTCTCAAAGAATGTATCCTAAAGCAGAAATCAAAAGCAAAATGGATTAAGGAGGGGGATCATAATGCAAAATACTTCCATGCTCTTTTAAAATAAAGGTCCAGAAGGAATTCTATTTCTTCTTTGCTTGTTGGGGATGGTTTGGAGGTTGTTGGATCTATGAAGAAGCACATCAAAGAATTCTTTTCTGCTAAGTTCCAGCAACAAGAAGTGAAGATACCAAATCTAGATGTAACAGGCCTAGTTTGCTTAACCGAGGCAGAAAGTTCTAGTTTAGAGATAATGTTTGATGAGGAAGAAATAAGGGATGTCATCTTTGAGTGTGCAGGGAATAAAAGTCCGGGGCTTGCCAATTTTAACTTGGAATTCTTGAAGAGGCGTTGGAGTGTGGTGGGAGTGGATGTCGTCAGTTGCATTCAGGAATTTCACAAATTGGCTTGGCTTCCTAAAGCTACGACTTCCTCTTTCTTTGCTTGATTCCAAAAGTGGATAATCCACAAAGCCTGGAGGAATATAGATCAATTTGTCTAATTGGTTGTGTTTACAAGGTCATCTTGAAATTGTTGGTATCAAGAATGAGGAAAGTTCCAAGAGGTATAGTGTTGCTCCCATAGGTGTAGCTTTTATCATGAATTATCCCTCCATATTCAAAGCTTCTTGAATGTTATAGGTGTCCCCAACTTTACTAACAACACCAACAGAATCCTTGCTAAACCTCTCCATGTCAGTTTCATCGATATTGAGTTGAAGGTGGGCAAAAGAAGGTTTCGCCTCAGCTTGTTTCCGTTGTCTTGATTCACCCATGACTTGAACGTACGATCTTCCAACTTGGCCATCATTAGTATACCTCCTCAGATTACCTTGCAAGTTCCCTTCCACAACCCTATTCTCTATATTCACGGTCCTTGCAACATGAGGAATGGAGGTCTGTGCTAGGCTCAATCGGTTAAATTTGGGCAAGTTTGCAAAAATCTTTCTACCCCTAATATGGATTCTATCTAATTTAGCAGCCATGATTCTCACGTCCTTGACCTTTCTGAACCTAGCAAAACCAAATCTTTTACCTCTCTTATCCAACCTTGCCGGCATGAATACCAAACATCTCTTTGGCCCCAAAGTCATCATGAACCTCAGTGAAGAAAAAGGACGAGATATCTTCGTTTGCCTCCGGTTCCTTCCCTCTTATGTCCGTCCAAATAGAGCTCCTCAGTCCATTGGTCTGGAGATTTCTTCTTCTCACTCCAACCCACTTGTTATCTTCTTTACCCATGAAAAAACCTCGGTAAGTTTAATTTCATATCAATTAATATCAACCCAAAACCTCCATAAACATTGTTAAACTCTTAAACCTCTATAAATATTATTTTATATTGTTAATGCATATTCGTTAAATTCTTAACCTTATTATTAATATCTCACTATTTATTATAACTTTGACACTTAATACAATTTAATTTTTTTCCATTATAGTATAATATATATTTGAAAATAATCTTACATATTTATGTATCAAAATATGTGGATTATCATCTAGTATTAATTTATACATGTCATTTCATATATTCTATATTTAAAAAGAAAATTACACATGTACTCTCTCTTACGCAATAATTGGTTTATATTATTTTGAATCTTTATTTCTTGATATTTTCTTTATTTCCTTTCTTGTTGCTATCATTTTAAATTCTCAAGCTCAAGCTGATTCGTAGCAAAACCGTATATATTTTTCTCTATCTTTTTTCTTTCTAGCAACCAAATCCATGAATTTTTTTAAAATAGTAATAACTTGTGTCCCAAAGATATCTGTTAATAAATTATAAATAGAAGGTTTGTGTTAAAAAAAATTATAAATGGAATATTTGTGTTGAAAAAAGTCAATAAAAAAATAAAAAAAATGCTAACGAATGTCTTCGGCAATCATTAAGAGTTTATACAGATATGTTTTGTTTAAAAATATTTATATTAAATGTATTGAAAATTAAAATAATTGAATTTTTAAAAAATAAATGATATTTCTTTATTTGAAAACCTTACAAAGTGTCTCTGCGTGAGTTATTGGTTAGCCTGATCCATAAATAAATTATAAATTTTTAACAAAGACAATACATAATGTTTGTAATAAATGTTAAGAAACATATAAATAGAATATTTGCACTAAATATAAAAATTTTATGTTTTAAAATTATGTACTGATTTCGTTAAAAATTTACTATTTTTAAAAGAACGTTTTCTAGTCGCAAAATGACAATATTGCAGTGATGAAATAGAATAATAAATAGGTTTATAGTTTTTTCTTTAAAAGAACGTTTTTTAAATTAACACACATTTTAAAAAATTAGTATAATAAATTTAATAACCAAGTAAAAGTAGTGCAAAATTAATATTTATTTTCTTTCTTTTGATCACGTTTTAAAATAAGATAATATGCATTAAATTAACTTATTTACTTGATGACTAATGATTTTAATTTTTTTTAAACATAATATGATTTTTTTTTTGCTAAAATTGATCCATATATTTTTATAGACTATATATATCTGAAAAAAATAGTACTTCCTTCATTTCATAATAGATATTTTCTTTTTAATTTTTTTTTTATCTCAAATTATTTGTTCTAGTTTAATGCTGATAAATAAGTTTTATACTTTAATTTAATAAAATATATCATTCAATCATGTTATATAATTAATTTAAAATATTCAATCTGATTTTGCCAAATATATGATTGTTATTGTAAATTATTGATTTACAGTATAAACAAAACCTACGTCATTCCAACACCCTTTTTCCTTGTTCTTATTCTTTATTTTCCCAATATTAATAGCATACAAATAATAGTTTGTAAATTCATATAAATGAAAATCAAGAATAGTATTTTAACATAAAATAATGTTGTATTAAATGTAAACTGAATAATTTATTTTTTTAAAACTGTTTTCTTTCTAAACAACTGTTTTTGAATCATGTTTAAAAAATGTTTTATAAATTTATACAAGTTTTTTTTATTCATAAAAGTAATTAATGCTATTTATCCGAACAATCTTTTTATCCATGTAAAAATCATATAAAGACCGGGGATAATAATAAATTAAATTTATAGTTTCAATTAGACAAAATAATCTTTTTGGTCCCTTAACATTAGTTCGGGGTCCATTTTGGTCCTTTATCTTTAAAGTGCCAAATGAGTCATTTAACTTTTAAAATAGTGTCATTTTAGTCCTCACCCTCAGTTGCCCCCAAACGTCCGTTTGTTTTGTATATCTGGCAGATGAGGTGACAATCTTGTTCATGATGTGTCTTCCTTCTCCCTCCTCCTTCGGTTGAAATCCCTAAAATAATCTCAAATCCCAAATCCCAATCCCAATCACGAATCCGTAAATTAATCTAGGACAAGCATGAAATCCAGATGTTCCTCTTCCATTTCAAAAACGAAAAGTCAGGATTCAGATGTTTGTAGTCGGTCACGATGGAAGCCCATGTGCCATTGTGGAGACATGGCTGTTCTTCAAAGGGCAACTACTGTTAAGAATATGATAAATTTTTTTTGGGGTTGTCCAAATTATAAGGTATGCAAGTTGATTTTGTTCTCTGTTAAAGTTATGTTTTTGTGTAAATTATGTTTACGTTTCTGTTTTTTTGATGTTTCTGTTTATTATCCATCATCCTCACTAAGGGACTTGCTGAAGCAAAAAAGGACAAACTTGAAATTGAAATGAAGAATATCATGAAGTGGAAAAAGATTTTGAATTCGATGTTTGTGATGATTATCATTGTATTAGTTGTTAGGGGTAGTTAGGTTATTACGGTTTGCTTGGAAGTATTATGTTTAGTTAAAGTTTGTATGACTTCAACATGAATGTAATAGTTGGATTTTAATATATGGATTGTATCAGTTTAGTTAATTTCAGTTTTTACAGTTCAACATGAATGAATATAACAGTTTTGGATTATATCATGTCAATGTGTTTTTTACATTTGGTATATAACAGTTTGGATTATGTTTGGTATATACCAGTTTGGTATATAACAACAACATACATATAACAGTTTGGACTGCTTTTAGGTTCTTGCACTATATACCCGTGGGGTATATACACTGAAGATAAAATCTGAAGCATATTTATTCTGAGCAGCATACATATAACAGTTTTGGTTATACATAAAGCAGCATACATAAAAGTTTGGATTATATGTTTGGTATATAACAGTTTTGCAGCATACATGTTTGGTACGGGTATATACACTGAAGATAAAATCTGAAGCATATTTATTTTGAGCAGCATACATATAACAGTTCTGCTTTTATGTCACAGTTTTTTATGTTTGGTATATAACAGTTTGGATTATATCACTGTTTTAGGTTCTGCTCTTTGGTATATCACAACAGTAGAGTACAACATGTTCAAATTAGGAGCTTCACCGTCCCTTAGTCGTGCTCCTTTCATGTCCCCGGTGGTGGTGGCTGGAAAGAATTCATGTCGACTGTTCGGAAATTTTGCATCAACTTGTACAGACTGACCAATCACCAGATAGGTGTTACTATCCTCTTTTTGGTTTTTTCCATCACACTGATAAGTAGTCTTTGTATTTTCAGATAATTTTTTTAATTCATAAGAATTATTTGTTGGAAATAAAGGCTGCAACATCATACTGTTATAAAAAGTTATGTAGCTTTTTATTTGAAATGCTGAATAAGAAATATGCTCAGTAAAGCAAGAACTGATGCTCACTTCTCAACAAAATAAGAGTTTTCAACACAATAAAACCATATTACGGACAAATATACAGAAAATACTATATACTAGTGATCTGACCTGATCAGAAGGGGATCACGGGCTGGCCACACACTGTTGGACTGCTACCTGTTCACCGGTGATGAGGAGGAGGAGGGCGGTGTACCTGCAAGACAGTCCGATGCCAAAATAAGGAATTGGGCAGAGTGGAGGCAAAGTACAGAAAATGGGCAATAAGTGAATTACCTGACCCTCTTGTGGAAGAGGGTATTTATAGAGAGACCTCAGCGCTGGGCCAACGGTCATTTGCGTTGGGCTGGATTGCCAGGCCCAACCCAGGTGACTGTTAGGGCTTACGTGGCGTAGTGAAGACCAGGACGTGGTCTTCGCCCTAGTCCAACTGTCCCGAGATCTCCGAAAAGTGGGTTTGACCTGCTCTTTCGGAGGTGGGCAGTTAGGGCGATGACGTGTCCCCGCGGAGGGGAGCACGTGGAGAACGTGCGGCTGGCACGTTGTTCTCCCCGCGGAGGGGAGCTCGTGGGACTCCCTGAGAACCCGAGGTTCTCCCCGCGGAGGGGAGCTCGTGGGATTCCCGGGCGGTGTGTGGCTCTTCCGGGGAGGGGGGAAAGGCACATGAGAGCGGAGAGGACGAATCGCCATGCCCGTTGGCAAGGGGATTCCACCCGTTGGAAGTTGTTCGGTCCGGCTAAGGGGAGCGCCGATGACGCTTCGAGGTGCGCCGTC